GCCATGTTCCAGAAGCATTCTCTCCTGATGTTTCGCCTGCATCTATGGCAGGCATCCTCAAAGGTTGTGAGGTCTGTTGAAAACTAGGAAAAAAATGCTAATCAATGTGGCCACACCTAAGTCAAACAGACAAGAGTTCTTTCTCCCACCTTGGACATTATTCCACAGATCTATAAACCCCATTTTCCTAGTTTCCAACAGAACTCACAACCTCTGAGGATGCCTGTGTAATGATTCTTACCTAATAGGCCAGAATAGAAGTCTGGGAAGACAGTAGGGAAAGCCTCCATTTTGAGAGTGTCTGCCAGTAAAACAGCCATCTTGAGGGAGGAGTTGGAGGTCTCCTGGGATTGGCTATAGAGTAGAGGAGGAGGAGCCAAGTCTTGGGAGGAAAAAAAAGATTTCAGCTTCTGAGAGAGAAGAGATTTGGGAACTGGAGGGAGAAGAAGTGGTTTGGAGGCTGGGTATTTCTGAGAGAGTGTTTTGTGTCAGGCAGGGCTGAATAGCTGACACGAAAGGTCAGGCAGCATCCCGATTACTTGTGGGAGACAACACAAGGGCTTTGCTCTCTAGTTTGAGTAAGTTAGCTGTAAGGACTCTGGGGAGAGTTAGCTAATTACTCAAAAGACAGCCTGGGATAGGTTAGTCAAGAACTCGTTGCTATTTCGCTGAAGTAGAGTGAGGATTTTTTTTTGTAACCAGTAGCTATATCTGTGAGATTAGCTCTGTTTGTAACCAAGTCTAGAAACTCTTTTTAAGCAACCATTAAGATATTGTGCTATAGTAACAAGTCAAGCGTTTGTGCCTCTCAAAAGAAGAAGTCAGTTGCCTGTTTTTATAAATAAATCTTTTCTCTGTTTGACTTTTAGGAAGCCTCTATCGTTACTCATTCTATCGGTAATCCTTAAGTAGAATTTCCAGTCAGTTCAACATCCTGATATTACAAAAAGAACTCTAACCTTGACAATCCTTTGTTTGGAGCAAAAGGAAGGGCAGTGGTGGCAGAAGAGGGAAAAGTTTACCTCAGAGCGGCATTCCAAAAAATCCTAAAACAGCTTGGGTTGGTGGCAGCATATAAATATAAGACAAGTACTTTACACTCTACCATTACATATTATATAACACCATATTGCAGCGGTTCTCAACCTGGGGGTCGCGACCCCTCGGGGGGTCGTTTGGCCATTTTCTGGGGGTCGTGAAGCCGCATTGGCTGGCCACGCCCCCTCCAAAATGGCGGCCGACCCCCTGCGTCACTGGCATTCCCGCGCGCGAAGCCATCCGCCTGTCCCTCATCTCCTTCTGATGGCAGAAGGAGGCGAGGGACGGGCGAGCGGCTCCACGGGCGGCTAGGCCACGCGCAAAACCATCTGCCCGTCCCTCGCTTCCTTCTGATGGCAGAAGGAGGTGAGGGATGGGCGAGTGGCTCCTTGGGCGCCCCTCGCCTGCTCCGCTCGCCCGCCGGCCGGCAGGGGTGCGGAGCAGGCGGGGGCCTTTGGCAAAAGGCCTTGCACCAGGCGCCCTCGCCTGCTCCACTCTCCCGCCGGCCGGCAGGGGGTGCAGAGCTAGCGAGGGCTCTTCGTTGCAGGTGAACTATAAATCCCAGCAACTGCATATCCCAAATGTCAAGGTCTATTTTCCCCAAACTCCACCAGTGTTCACATTGGGGCATATTGAGTATCTGTGCCAAGTGTGGTCCAGATCCATCATTGTGTGAGTCTGCAATGCTCTCTGGATGCAGGTGAACTACAACTCCCAAACGCAAGGTCAGTGCTCACCAGACCCTTCCAATATTTTTCATTGGTTGTGTTAGTTCTGTGTGCCAAGTTTTCATTGGTTGTGTTAGTTCTGTGTGCCATTTTGAACTCCTCATTGGTGGAGTTCAAAATGCTCTTTAATTGTAGGTGAACTATAAATCCCAGCAACTACAACTCACAAATGACATAATCAATTTTCCCTCCAACCCCACCAGTATTCAAATTTGGGCATATTGGATAACGTAAGGTAAAAGTTTTCCCCTGACATTAAGTCTAGTCGTGTCCAACTCTGGGAGTTGGCGCTCAATTTCTAGGCCAAAGAGCCGGTGTTGTCCATAGACACCTCCAAGGTCATGTGGCTGACATGACGGCATGGAGCGCTGTTGTTGCGTATTTGTGCCAAATTTGGTCCAGTGAATGAAAACACATCCTGCATTTCAGATTTTTACATTATGATTCATAACAGTAACACAATTATAATTAGGAAGTAGCAATAATAATAATTTTATGGTTGGGGGTCACCACAACGTGAGGCACTGTATTAAGGGGTCGCGGCATTACGAAGGTTGAGAACCACTGCCATATCGCTACCATAATATAGATCAGCTGGGGCTTGATTCCTTTATACTGGTGGCTTGCGCTGTGATATTACAAGAAATTCTTTATAGTGGCGTCAGCTGGGGGAATATTATATTGAAATCTTCTTAACTGGTGGCAAGCGGCGAGATTTATAGTAAGATATAACTTTGCACTTCTTTATAATTGGCGTTCAGCTGTAGGATATATTATAGTATATCGTTTGATCCTTTGTAGCCTGGCATAGATGCAGCTGAGACATCAGGAGAGAATGCTTCTGGAACATGGACAGACAGCCCGGAAAACTCACAGCAACCCAGTGATTCTGGCCACGAAAGCCTCTGACAATGCATTAGACCAGGCATGAGAAAACTCTGTCCCTCCTGGTGTTTTGGATTTAAATTCCCATAATTCCTAGCAGCTGTTAGGAATTATGGGAGTTGAAGTCCAAAACAACTGGAGGGCCAAAGTTTGCCCATACCTGCATTAGCCCATAGTTTGCAACCAGCTAATCCCTATTGCATCAAAAGGTACCCAATATCCACAACTCCGGATACTGGGTGAAAAACTCCACTTCGAATCCGACCCCAAAGCAAAGCTTCCCATAAATCCATCTTGGATTACACCAGGTTGCAGAAAGGGGAGGAATGGGAATGGATCTGATTATTTTCCTCCAACAAGAGACCTCTTTTGCCATTCCCTTCTAAAGCCCAGGAAAATACCATAAATGTCTTTCTTTTCCTTTTTTTTTTTTAACAAAGATAAGGCATCAAGTGTAACAGATACGTGTGGGAACCTCAAAAAACGGCACAAAGCAGCTTCTGTCGCTCTAGATTAGCCACCTCGTCTCTGGAATAGCATGAGCATTTAGAAAAAGAAATCCCTTTGCTTTTCGAATTACAGAAAAGGCCTTTGCGACGCGTTCAAGAGGAGAAAATAAACTTTGGGTTGTTGTGAGTATGGCTATGTTCCAGCAGCATTCTCTCCTGATGTTTCACCCACATCTATGGCAGGCATCCTCAGAGGTTGTGAGGTTTGTTTGGAAACGAGACAAGTGAGTTTTACATATCTGTGGAATAATGTCCAACCTGGGAGAAAGAGCTGAATGTTGTGAATGTTGCAATTGGCTACCTTGATTAGCACTGAATGGCCTTGCGGCTTCAAAGCCTGACTGGTTGCTGCCTGGGGGAATCCTTTGTTGGATAGTAAGCAAGTGAGGTTTAGATATCTGTGGGATGTCCAGGATGGGAGAACGAACTCTTGTCTGTTCAAAGGAAGTGTGGATGTTGCAATTCGCCACCTTGATTACCACCAAATGGTTTTGCAGCTTCAAAGCCTGACTGGTTGCTGCCTGGGGGAATCCTTTGTTGGATAGTAAGCAAGTGAGGTTTAGATATTTGTGGAATAATGTCCAACCTGGGAGAAAGAACTCTTCTCTGTTTGAGGTGTGAATGTTGCAATTGGCCACCTTCATTTGCACTGAATGGCCTTGCAGCTTCAAAGCCTGACTGGTTGCTGCCTGGGGGAATCCTTTGTTGGAAAGTAAGCAAGTGAGGTTTAGATATCTGTGGGATGTCCAGGGTGGGAGAAAGAAATCTTGTTTGTTCAAGGCAAGTGTGAATGTTGCAATTGGCCACCTTGATTAGCACCGAATGGCCTTGCAGCTTCAAAGCCTGACTGGTTGCTGCCTGGGGGAATCCTTTGTTGGAAAGTAAGCAAGTGAGGTTTAGGTATCTGTGGGATGTCCAGGGTGGGAGAAAGAACSCTTGTCTGTTTGAGGTAAGCGTGAATGTTGCAATTGGCCACCTTGATTAGTACTGAAGGGCSTTGCAGCTYCAAAGCCTGACTGGTTGCTGCCTGGGGGAATCCTTTGTTGGCAAGTAAGCAAGTGAGGTTTAGATATCTGTGGGATGTTCAAGCTGGGAGAAAGAACTCTTGTTTGTTCGAGGCAAGTGTGAATGTTGCAATTGGCCACCTTGATTAGCACCGAATGGCCTTGCAGTTTCAAAGCCTGACTGGTTGCTGCCTGGGGGAATCCTTTGTTGGAAAGTAAGCAAGTGAGGTTTAGATATCTGTGGAATGTCCAGGGTGGGAGAAAGAACTCTTGTCTGTTCGAGGCAAGTGTGAATATTCCAATTGGCCACCTTGATTAGCACCGAATGGTCTTGCAGCTTCAAAGCCTGCCTGTTTGCTGCCTGGGGGAATCCTTTGTTGGAAAGTAAGCAAGTGAGGTTTAGATATCTGTGGGATGTCCAGGGTGGGAGAAAGAACTCTTGTCTGTTTGAGGCAAGTATGATTTTTATTATTATTAATAATAATAATAATAAATTAATTAATATAATAATAATGTTGCAATTGGCCACCTTGATTAGCATTGAATGGCCTAGCAGTTTCAAGGTCTGGCTTCTTACTGCCTGCCATTTTCCAAGTTTCCAACAGACCTCACAACCTCTGAGGATTCCTGTCATAGATGTGGGCGAAACGTCAGGAGAGAATGATTCTAGAGCATGGTCATACAGCCTGGAAAACTCACAGCAACCCAGCGATTCCAGCCATGAGAGCCTTTGACAATACAAAATAAACTTTGAAAGGAGGGAAAAGTTGGGGAAGAAGAAAGGACTGGTTTTTGGAAAACTGCTGAGAAATACGAAAGTACCTGAATATATACAATTTTTGTTTCCCCACATTTATTGTGGTTTCCTCGGTCAACAGGTCCAAATCCTTGAACGTGTGTGTGCAAGAGTGTAAATCCCTCCCTCTTTTCCCTCCAAAACTTGGGGACAGAAAAAAATAAAAATAAAATAATAATAGAAAAATTTTAAAACCAAGGGACAACATCCTAAAAACTGTACATCGTTGTCTTACAAAGGACCCTTCCGCCCGCCCCAAAGTCACTCCGATGGCATCAAAGTGAACTCAGGTGCCTCTTTTTAACTATATAATTATAATTATAATTAATTATTATTTTTTTAATAAAAGTCACTTTCTCCCCCCCGCCCTTCAAAAAACAAGAACCGACATTGCTGCGCCCCCCAGTTATTATCTCCATTGTCTCTGTCCGGCCAGGAATAAGGCGATGCTAAGGAAGAGGGCCGCTTGCGAGAGGTTGGCACCGCTGGGCGAAGCGTTGGCCTTTTTGTCCATTTTGTTGGTGTTCCGCGTGACTTCTGTCGCGTTGAACACGAGCTCCGGGGAGCACTGCGCCGACCCGCATCCGCTGCCGCTGCCTTCGCCGCTGCCCATGTCACTGTCGATGGCTAAAAGGGAACGGAGACAGAGACAAGTTTTCGTTTACAAACGCAAGTCAACAAAACGCATCATTGGCTTGTTATGGCTTCTGTGGTTCTGCACAATGTGATCACAGGGCTTCAGGAAAGGCAAAAGCTGCACATCGCAAGTGCTGAACCTGACTCAGCACATAGAAGATGGCTTTGAAAGGCAGCAGATCACAGGAGCTGTCTTCATAGACCTGTCAGCAGCCTATGATACTGTGAACCACCACCGCCTCCTCCTGAGAAAAATGTATAATATCACAAAGGACGACCACCTCACCCGCCTCATAGGAAACCTGCTACAAAACAGGAGCTTTTTTGTTGAGTTCCAGGGCCAGAGAAGCAGATGGCGGAAACAGAAGAACGGCCTGCCTCAGGGGAGCGTGCTTGCTCCATCCATGTTCAACATCTACACAAATGACCAGCCACTGCCAGAAGGACAGACAGTTTCATCTATGCTGATGATCGTGGGTCCCAAGATGTTTTGGCCTTCAACTCCGAGAAATCCTAATAGCTGGGATTTCTGGAAGTTGTAGGCCAAAAACATCTGGGGACCCCAGGTTGAGAACCACTGATCTATGCTGATGATCACCGCTCAAGCAGGAAGGTTTGAAATGGTTGAAAAGAAGCTCTCCGAAGCTCTAGGTGCCCTTACTGCCTACTACAGGGAAAACCAGCTGATCCCTAATCCATCTTAAACACAGACATGAGCTTTCCACCTCAAGAACAGACAAGCATCCCGAGCTCTGAGGATTACCTGGGAAGGAATCCCACTGGAGAATTGCAGCACACCCAAATACCTGGAGTCACCCTGGACCGTGCTCTGACCTACAAGAAGCACTGCCTGAATATCAAGCAAAAAGTGGGTGCTAGAAACAATATCATACGAAAGCTGACTGGCACAACCTAGGGATCACAACCAGACACAGTGAAGACATCTGCGCTATGCTACTCTGCTGCTGAGTATGCATGCCCAGTGTGGAACACATCTCACCACACTGAAACAGTGGATGTGGCTCTTAATGAGACATGCCGCATTATCACAGGGTGTCTGCGCCCTACACCACTGGAGAAATTACACTGCTTAGCCGGTATTGCACCACCTGACATCCGCCGGGAAGTAGCAACCAATAGGGAAAGGACCAAGGCAGTGACATCTCCGGTCCATCCTCTGTTTGGGTATCAGCCAGCACATCAACAACTTAAATCAAGAAATAGTTTTTCTAAGATCTACAGAGACACGCGCTGGAACACCTCAGCAAGCAAGAGTCCAAAAGTGGCAGGCTCAAACCCAGAACCTCAATCAATGGCTGATACCAAATGAGAGACTCCCCCCTGGGCACACAGAAAACTGGGTGACTTGGAAGGCGCTGAACAGACTGCGCTCTGGCACCATGAGATGCAGAGCCAATCTTAAGAAACGGGCTACAAAGTAGAATCCATGACATGCGAGTGTGGAAAGGAGCAAACCACTGACCACCAGCTGTGCTAAAGCCCAACTCACCAATTATGATTCTGGATGGTGTGTGCGAAGATGGCACCAATTTGTAACGGTTTTGTAAAGGAGCCACCACTTTCTAAGGCAGTGGTTCTCAACCTGTGGATCCCCAGATGTTTTGGCCTTCAACTCCCAGAAATCCTAACAGCTGGTCAAGTGGCTGGGAGTTGTAGGCCAAAACACCTGGAGACTCACAGGTTGAGAACCACTGTTGTAAGGGTTTATTAAATTGATAGCGTAGCTAACAGCTAGTAATATTGATTTGGTCTTTCTTCAATGTGTAGTGTGACTTAACTTGGAAAAAATTTGTAACAGAGACTGGAAAGGATTTGTAACAGAGACAGTTTAGAAGAAACTGTAACAAGTTTATTGAAATGTAGAAGATTGGTGGTTTCAATGTTTCTTAACTCTTAGAGGCTCATATCTTCAGAGGTTACCTTTATAATATTCCTTAAAACAACTCTTATGAGGACTCTTCCTTCCACTAAACAGGTTTCAAACTTATTTTTCTTCAAACTGTGTTTCTTTCCTTAATAAATTACTTCAGATACAAGCTTATTCTTTCTTTGTGATATTTCTGTTGCAATAAAGATTCTCACTGGGTTTCTCTCACCCCTTTCTACTCATACACTAACTACTAATATAAATAAGTCAACTCGACTTATCTAAACTACCTAGCCTAAAAGCCAAAACCTTCCTGATTCTTACTACAGTAGAATCAGCCTTTCCCTGTAGTTTTAAAACTACAGACTACCTTTCTGGTTCTCACTACACAACAGAACCAGCCTCTCCTGCAGCTCACAGACGGCAGACTGCCCATTTTAAAATGGCTGCCCTGCCAAGTGGCAGTTGGCTCCGCCCCTTTTTCCATAGCAACCCAGCTCAAAGTGAGTTGAACTGGCTACCACCCCCCCCCCCAGTTATGCAACTTTGAATACTTACCCTTTCAAACACCTATCTATAATTATACATTACTGCAGGTCAAAATTCACACTTCACCACAGTGTGATTTTAATAACTGGTTTTAAATTGCATTGTTATGATGTTTGGTTTTAATGTAAATGTTTATTGCATTGTATATATTTATGTTTCGGCATCAAATTGCTGCCTAATTTGTAAGGCCGCACTGAGTCCCCTTCGGGTAAGGAAAGGATATAAATGAAGTAAATAAGATAAATAAATAAATAAATAAAAGGTTGCTGTGACTTTTCCGGGTTATGGGGCCATATTCCAGAAGCATTCTCTCCTGATGTTTTGCTTACGTTCAGGAGAGAATGCTTCTGGAACATGGCTGTATAGCCCGAAAAACTCATAGCAACCCAGTGATTCTGGCCACGAAAGCCTTCGACAACAAAATAAATATGATTTTCTGTAGTTACGGTTGTAGTTACACCATGTAACACAATTCTTGTTCCTGGGTTATAAATGCAATTTCCTAATTGGTTATGTCATAAATACATGGGGGAAAAATTTGTTTGTTTGGTTTTTTTTGCAGAAGGGAAATCCTGCAGCACAGTTTGCTCTAGTTTTTCAAGGAATCTCTCATTGACTCTCAAAACAATTCGACACAGTTTGTGGCAGCCACAAAAACAAAGTTTCTGGAGTAGAAAAACTACTTTCAAAGTAAGGATTGCACAATAAAACAGGAAATAACACTTTCAAACCAGGACAGAACATTTTCCATATTGTGTTACATAGTGTAATAAATGAAAATAATTTATACACAGGATGTTTGTAACTCAGGGACGGCCTTGAGTTACACACATGAATAATTTAGCTGATTATAGGTAAAGGCAAAGGTTTCCCCTTGACATTAAGTCTAGTCGTGTTTGACTCTGGGGGGTGGAGCTCATCTCCATTTCTAAACCAAAGAGCTGGTGTTGTGCATAGACACCTCCAAGGTCATGTGGCCAGCATGAATGCATGGAGCACCGTTACCTTACCTATTCATATTTGCATGTTTTTGAACTGCTAGGTTGGCAGGAGCTAGGGCTAACAGCGGGAGCTCACCCAAACCTGTGGCTTCAAACTGCCGACCTTTAGTTCAGCAGATTCAACAGTTCAACCTGTAGCACCACTGCAACCCCAAAAGAAGTAAAGGAGCTGTTACAACGGCTCAGTCTCACTTACGATCCAAATAGTCATTCCCGTTGTAGGCGCTCTTCAATCGGGCGGTCATCACTCGAAGGGAGTGGATCTGCTGGCGAATCACCATGTCGGGCCTGGAGGTGTCAACCACCACTTCGGGATTGTTTGCCTGGTTAGCAAGGCCATTGGCCGTCACGGCGAAGACGTATCTGTGGAGACAAAGGCCACCCATGCTATCAAGGGACAAGCCATGCATGGCTACCCATCTCAATCGCTCCATGGACCTTTCAGAGTATTGGTTAATCTATGGCTAACAGTTGACTTGAAAGCACATATATTCTTGCTGATTTTACACCATCCTTTTAATTGGAACCCTAGACCACTGTATCCTACTTCTTGGATAGTGTAAGGCAGTTGAAATATCTGCTAATCTAAAATCTGGTGTTGGAAAAGGAATTTACTATGGGCTACCATGCTCAGGAAAGGGAAAAGCTGCACATAATAAGTGCTGAACCTGACTCAGCACATAGACAGGCAGATTACAGGAGCTGTCTTCATAGACCTGTCAGCAGCTTATGATACTGTAAATCATCGCCGCCTCCTTTAAAGACCTATAATATCACCAAGGATTGCCACCTCACTTGCTTCACAGAAAATCTGCTACAAAACAGGAGCTTTTTTGTTGGGTTCCAGGGTCAGAAAAGCAGATGGCGAAAACAGAAGAATGGCGTGCCCCAGGGGAGTGTGCTTGCACCATTAATGTTTAACATTTCCACAAATGATCAGCCACTGCCAGAAGGGACAGAGAGTTTCATCTATGCTGATGATCGTGCCACCACCGCTCAAGCAGGGAGCTTTGAAATGGTGGAACACAAGCTTTAGGTGCTCTTACTGCCTTTGCTACTCTGCTGCTGAATATGCATGCCCAGTATGCATATTCCACGTTAAAATAGTGGATGCGGCTCTTAATGAGATATGCCACATTGTCACAGGATGTCTACACCCCACACCACTGGAGAAATTACACAGTTTAGCTGTTATCATGCCACCTGACATCCGCCGGGAAGTAGCAGCTAGCTACTTCGCTCAAGAAGGGAGCTTTGAAATTGTTGAACAGAATCTCTCCCAAGCTCTAGGTCAGCGGTTCTCAACCTGGGGGTCGCGGCCCCCAGGGGGGTTGTTGGGCCATTTTCGGGGGGTTGCAAAGCTACCTTAGTTGGCCCCGCCCCTGCCAAAATGGCTGCCAACCTCCTGTGCCAGACAAAAGGCTAGCACTCTTGGTCAGCTCATCATCCTGCTCTCCCCACAGGGCTGTTGGGTGGCAAGAGGAGGAGCTTGCAGGAAAAGGCAGGAAGAAGGCTCGCCTTTCCAAGTTCGGAAGGGCGCGGGGAGGGCAGGTAAAGGTTTTCCCCTGACATTAAGTCCAGTTGTGTCTGACTCTGGGGTGTGGTGCTCATCTCCATTTCTAAGCCACAGAGCTGGTGTTGTCCGTGAACACCTTCTAGGTCATGTGGCCAGCATGACTGCTGGAACACTGTTACCTTCCCGCCGGAGCAGTACTTATTGATCTATTCACATTTGCATGTTTTCGATCTGCTAGGTTGACAGAAGCTGGAGCTAACAGCAGGAGCTCACCCAAACCCGCTCCCCGGATTAAAACCTGTGACCTTTTGATCAGCAAGTTCAGCAGCTCAGCGGTTTAATCCACTGTGCCACCGGGGGCTCCCATCATACCTTGGAGATATCATAAAGGGTGATAATATGGGGCAAATGGAGGCCAATATGACTCAACGGAGCTATCATACCTTGGACACATCACAAAATGGCATGAATTGTTGGAAAAGGTAATAATAATAGATAAGTGAAAGTTGTTGAGGCTATCATGCCTTGGACACATCATGAAAGGGTAGGAATCCTTGTAAATGATGATAACACAGGGGAAAATGGAAGCCAAAATGACTCCATAGAAGTGATCATATTTTGGACACATTACGGATAGGGCTGGATGAAAGGGGGGAACATGACAAACGCCAGCTCAAACAAGAGTCGCGATTCCATCCCAACCTGCTTTTGTCACTCCCGTTCCAACACTCGTCTTCGTTGACATTCCCGGCGGCCATTTTGTCGTTGCTGCAGATATTGCTGGGAAGGGAGGACCAGAACTTCTTGGCTTGCTTCAGCTTTTCCTTCACGTCTGTCACCTAGTGAGAAAAAATGAATCCCAAAATGAAAGTGATTCTCTTCCATTGAGGAAGCGGGAAGAAGGAAATAGGAGAGAGGAAGGAAGAATGTTGCAACTCAGGGTCCCAAACATCACCACACCAAAGCTGTAGATTTTGTAGTTCACTGAAGAAAAGGCAAAGTCAAAACATAGTATGAGAAATGCAAAGTTCCAAAAAGGCTTAAATGCAAAGACACAGTTCCCAAGATCCAAGGGCAAAAACATGAAACATAATCCTTTAAGCAATGGTCAAACAATAGTCCATGAAAAACAGTTGAACACAAGACCCCAAAATCCCAGACTCGGGAAGCCAGAAGCGAGCTGCTTAAGGCCAAGGTTAATCCATAGAAGTTTGCATGGAAAGAGCCACGTTGAACTGACAACGCCTGTGTGTCAGCGAGAAGGCTAAATATCCTTTGCAGACATGAACACATTGCGATGACCTTTGGCAGACTTGGCATCTCGCTTGCTTGCCAAGCGAGAGCTTCTCCGGACTCATAATTGCAGACAATCTTGCCTGCTCATTAATTCGTTATCTTCAAGGCTCTCTAACCCCTTATCATCTTGGTCCAACGGCTGGACCGGATCACTGTGAGAAGGCAAAGGAGGCAAAGACATCTCCACCTGGCCGTGTGGGAATTCACTCTTGTTATCATTCTCACTGACATTTCCCCCCCTGAGAACTGACGTGCTGTTTTCCCTTCTGCAGCCTCACCGTCAACCCTGTCTGAAGCATGAACAGAAATCTGTAACCCATCATCCTCCTCATCATCTTGTAGGAACTCTGGCTCACAAAGCCCACAGGGGTCAGCTTCAGACTCAGAGTCAAGCCGAGTCACAACAAGGAATATGGTGGTGGACAGAGGAAAGCAGTGGCAGCAGGAAGGGGCAGCACGCACTAGATCTCCAAGATTGGAGTGGATGGCCCTTGTGGTCTCATCCAACTCCATGAATAGAAACTACAAGTCCATCCAAAAGCAAGGACTGCCTCCCATTCTTGGAATTCCCCATTAAGACTGGACCCATAGAAGACATGAAAAAAAAGCAGCTGCTGCAGTCCTTCCACCTGCCCTCGCCCTTGTCATAACAAAACGATTTTACTGCAAACACGTTTGGGTGTTTACGCTATTTCGACTTTACTGATGGTCCTATGCCCCAGGGAAGTTGAAGGTTGGCCAAAGATGGACGATAGCGTTGCCCACTCACCAGCCGATCCAAACTCGTTCCTGCTGCTGTTGTTGGCCGCTCCTCCGGGTTGTAAGGACGAAAACGGGCGCTGAAACTGCTTTCCGAGACCGAGCGAGACGTCCGGCTTTGGGCCAGCATTTTGGGCTGTCCACATCCTTGGAAAACCTATAACGACACCGTTGTTGTATAAACATTCTTACAGCAACAAGAGCAATGCTTAGGAATAACTAGCTACCGTATATACTTGAGTATAAGCTGACCCAAATATAAGTTGAGGTACCTAATTTTACCATAAAAAACTGGGAAAACTCATTGACTCGAGTATAAGTCGAGGGTGGGAAATGCAACTGGTAAATTTCAAAATAAAAATAGATATCAATAAAATGACATTAATTAAGGCATCAGTAGGTGAAATGTTTTTGAATATTCACATAAAACTGTAATTTAAGATAAGACCAACTCTGATTAAACAATTGTTCTAACCTTCTTCAGTGTAAATGTGCTTATGTATCCTTCCAAGAATAATAAAGGGAGTAAAATAATAAATGTAACAATAACAATAAAGTAAAATGATAAATGATAAAGAGTAAAATAAGAAATGTAATGAAATAATAATAGAGTAAAATAATGTAAACGTAATTAATAAAAAGAGTAAAATAACAAATGTAATAATAACAATAATAAATAGAGCAAAATGAGAAATGTAATAACAATAATAAATAGAGTAAAATGAAAAATGTAATAAAATAATAATAGAGTAAAATAATAAATGTAATAATAGAAATATAGAGTAAAATGAGAAATGTAATAATAACAATAATAAATAGAGTAAAATGAGAAATGTAATAAAATAATAATAGAGTAAAATAATGTAAATGTAATGATAAAAATAGAGTAAAATGAAAAATGTAATAAAATAATAATAGAGTAAAATAATAAATGTAATAATAGAAATATAGAGTAAAATGAGAAATGTAATAATAACAATAATAAATAGAGTAAAATGATAAATCTAATAAAATAATAAAGAGTAAAATAATAAATGTAATAATAACAATAATAAATAGAGTAAAATGATAAATGCAATAAAATAATAGAGTAAAATAATGTAAACTTAATAAAAATAGAGTAAAATGATAAATGCAATAAAATAATAATAGAGTAAATTAATGTAAACGTAATAAAAATAGAGTACAATAATAAATGTAATAATACTAATAAAAAGAGTAAAATGAGAAATGTAATAAAATAATAATAGAGTAAAATAATGTAAACGTAATAATAAAAATAGAGTAAAATAACAAATGTAGTAACAATAATAAATGGAGTAAAATGATAAATGTAATAAAATAATAATAGAGTAAAATAATGTAAGCATAATAATAAAAATAGAATAAAATAATAAATTTAATATTATAAAATAATAAATATAATAAAATAATATTAACAAGAGTAAAATACTAAATAATCTTGATTTCAGTATAAATGGAGGGGAGCTTTTTCAGCTTAAAAAAGGGGCTGAAAAATTAGGCTTATGCTCGAGTATATACAGTATTTTCATAAATTTCTCTGCTTGCATTGTGAAAGGAAAGGCTATCATTGCATGACAATGAGAACTCGAGAACACATGGAGTCATAACTTATTGCCGTATTATCATAGTTCCTGAGTTTGTTATAACCCAACCAGCATTGGAAAAAATTGTTATCCAATTACCCTTTTAGTGTGTTAATTTGAAATGTAACTTCTGCTAAGCGAGCTGCTATTGAAGAAATGAAGCAGTCTTATACCTTGTGTACCAGTTTCCATCATTCCCAGAAAAAGGGTTGGATAAATGGTGTTTGGCTCAATTCTTCCCACATCCTGAAATTTTACTTTTTAAAAGGAACTAGTTACTTTTTAAAAGGAACTAGTTACTTTAACTACTAAATAGATCTTGTCCTGTTACTGTTATGCCTGTCCAGAAATGGAATTTGTGCTGAATTCTTCGCTGCTAACAAGTTCACATTACTGCTATTATTGTGCCACTGGGAAGTATGAAGAAATGCTCTCTGTGGCCCCCAAATGGTCAATTCAGATACTGCATTTGGAAACTGCAAACATAACTTTTCAGCACAAAAGGGCCACCCTTGAGATTCTTCCTTTCCCTTCATAATAACTTTTTAGCAAAGTGAGATATTCCCTACCTTTTGGGACACTTGCATGCTGTTTTCTTGCATGTTCATGATAGCGTCGGAGATCTTCACGTCAATGGGATCCATGACGGTTTCAATGTTGAACGGTCCCTCCAGCCGTTCGGCCACCATCAACATCGAATCTGATTAGAAAGAAATGCAAAAGGGGAGAGAGGCAAAGGATTGAGCGGAAAATCTAGCAATTAAACTGTGTTAATTTCACAGTGTAGACGCACCCCAAGACGCTGAAAACCATTCCCTTGGAGACTTGCCACGCTCGCATTCCCTGGTTTATTTTGCTTTTGAAATCTGTTGTATTTTCCCCATACAAAATGAGGATTTCTCTCCTTCTGTGACTTTATTTGACTAAATATTGCATTCCCAAGACCTCAGGCATGTTTCCTGGGAACACCATTCGAATTGGGGGCCCTGCGATTTGGAATGACATGAGGCCTTACTTACTTACTTACTTACTTACTTAGGCGATCCCTCGTCGTACGAGTAGGATAGTCTTCCAGGATCAGTATTCTTGTGGGTCCGTAGGTGACTGTGGAGCCCTATTCTTGACCTGCATCTTCTCCCACAGTGAGGACATTGGTTTCCAGGTGGAAGACTGTCTTGGTCGAGGTTGGCTTGACGCGTCTTCCTCTTGGCATGTTTCTCTCTTTCACCCTCCATTCGTGCCTCTTCAAATTCTGCAGCACTGCTAGTCACAGCTGACCTCCAGCTGGAGCTCTCACAAGCCAGGGCTTCCCAGTTCTCAGTGTCTATGTCAGAGTTTTTAAGGTTGGCTTTGAGCCCATCTTTCAATCTCTTTGCCTGTCCACCAACATTCGTTTTCCGTTCTTGAGTTCGGAATAGAGCAATTGCTTTGGGAGATGGTGGTCGGGCATCCGGACAATGTGGCCGGTCACAGGCGTATAGCAGGGTTGGGAGGACAATAGCTTTATAGACAAGCACCTTGCTATCCCTATGGATGGGACATCCTCAAACACTCTCTGCTTAATTCGGAAAAATACTGCACTCGCAGAGGCTCTGGTGGTGTCGTATTTCAGTGTCAATGTGGACGTTGAAGACAGTCCACGTTTTGCAGGCGTATAGCAGGGTTGGGAGGACAATAGCTTTATAAACAAGCACCTTGGTATCCCTATGGATGTCCCGGTCCTCAAACACTCTCTGCTTCATTCGGAAAAATGCTGCACTCGCAGAGCTCAGGAGGTGTTGTATTTCAGTGTCGATGTTGACATCTGTAGACAGTCCACGTTTTGCAGGCGTATAGCAGGGTTGGGAGGATAATAGCTTTATAAACAAGCACCTTGGTATCCCTATGAATGTCCTGGTCCTCAAACACTCTCTGCTTCATTCAGAAAAATACTGCACTCGCAGAGCTCAGGTGGTGTCGTATTTCAGTGTCAATGTTGACGTCTGTAGACAGTCCACGTTTCGCAGGCGTATAGCAGGATTGGGAGGACAACAGCTTTATAAACAAGCATCTTGGTATCCCTATGGATGTCCCGGCCCTCAAACACTCTCTGCTTCATTTGGAAAAATGCTTTTGTTTTATGTGTATTTGTTATATTGTTGTTTTATTGAGGCCTTGACCTTTGTAAGCTGCATCGAGTCCTTCGGGAGATGTTAGTGGGGTACAAATAAAGATAATAATAATAATAATAATAATAATAATAATAATGCACTCACAGAGCTCAGGCGGTGTTGTATTTCAGTGTCGATGTTGACTTTGGTGGAGAGGTGGCTGCCAAGGTAGCGGAAATAATCAACATTTTCCTATGTTCCACCATTAAGCTGTATCTCTGGCATTGGAGAGGGATTGGTTGGTGACTGCTGGAAGAGCACTTTGGTTTTCTCGATGTTCAATGACAGGCCGAGCTTCTCGTATGCTTCTGCGAAGGTGTTTAGAGTGGCTTGTAGATCTTCTTCTGAATGCGCACAGACGACATTGTCATCGGCATACTGGAGTTCTATAACAGGTGTTGTTGTAACCTTGGTTTTGGCTTTCAGTCTGCTGAGGTTAAATAGCTTCTCCGATAGATGAAGTATCATAGCGATGAAGATGGAGAATAAAGTTGGGACAATAACACATCTCTGTTTGACACCTGATTCCACCTTAAATGGGTCACTTTGGGAGCCACTGCTGTCCAGGACTGTTGCCATCATGTTATCATGGAGGAGCTGCAGGATGTTCACAAATTTGTTAGGGCACCCAATTTTTTGGAGGATGGTCTAGAGAGCTTTGGCTAAATATTGCTTTCCCAAGACTTTAGGCATGTTTCCTGGGAACACCATTCGAATTGGGGGCCCTGCAATTCGGAATGACGTGAGGCCACACACATCACCGCTAAGGAATGCGAGTCTTGCTCTAACCGAGGGGGAAATGCATCACTTGAGAACAACTTGGGAAGATAAGCAAATCCATGCTCAGAGGACATGTTCAGCTGGGAACTGTTTTGGCTGTTGACGGAGACAGATAAGGGAGGCCTCGGGAGGAATGAACCCTATGGCACCAAATAAACAGGAGCTGGTCTGGTGTGAAGGTGGGAGCCGTGCAAAGTGGGAATCCAAGGGTGAAACCGGCATTTGTTTAATTTCAGAATCAAGGGAGATAGAGACAAAGGAGGGAAGCAAATAGTTCAGAACCCTAAACCAGATCTTAGTACAAGCCGAGTCTTCCCGTATCCAAAATTCTTGTTTTTATGATAGAGCCCTTTAAGACAGTGTTTCTGAACCTGGGGGTTGGAACCCCTGTGGGGGTCGTGAGAGGGGATGTCAGATGGGTCACCAAAGATTATCAGAAAACATAGTCTTTTCTGTTGGTCATGGGGGTTCTGTGTGGCAAGTTTGGTTCAATTCTATCGTTGGTGGGGTTCAGAATACTCTTTGACTGTAGGTGAACTATAAATCCCAGCAACTACACCTTCCAAATGTTAAGGTCTATTTTCCCCAAACTCCACCATTGTTCACATTTAGGCATATTGAGTATTAATGCCAAGTTTGGTCCAGATCCATCATTGCCACTACAACTCCAAAACTCAATGTCAATGCCCACCAAACCCTTCTAGTATTGGGTACCTGAGGATGCTTGCCATAGATGCAGGCGAAACGTCAGGAGAAAATGCCTCTAGAACATGGCCATATAGCCCGAAAAATCTACAACAACCCAGTAATCCTGGCCATGAAAGCCTTCGACAATACCTTCTAGGTATTTTCTCTGTTGTTCATGGGAGTTCTGTGTGCCAAGTTTGATTCAATTCCAATATTGGTGGAGTTCAGAGTGCTCCTACAGAGTGCAACTACAACTATAAATAAAGCAACTACAACTACAACTCCCAAATGACAAAACCAATCCCCCTCAACCCCACCTGTTGTAGTAGAGTCTGTTGGCAATGCTGCAACTGGTAGTAGGAGTGGTAGAGGAGGGAAACGAGGTGCCCAAGTGTTAGACGAGGAGCAGCAAAGGAAGAGAATTTGGGAGATACTTATGTCACCCACTGATGAAGAATCCTTTGTAGTTTTCTCCGAGAGTGAAATGAGTGAGTAGGAAGAAGGAGATTCAGATGGGAATAGAGGCATTAAGAGGATTACTGGAGAGCAGGAGTCAGACGAGGAGCGCCAGAGAAAGAAGATCTGGACGTACTTACTGCTCCCACAGAGGAAGAGGATTTCATGGTCTTTTCTGGGAATGATGGGTCTGGGGGTTGTGGGGATGAAGAGGAACCACTGGATTGGACCAAGGTACAGGAGGTTTGGAATGTGTGTACTCAACCAACATCAAGTGACACTTTTGAGGGGTTTTCTGGTGGCGGGGATTGGCAATCTGGGGATACTGTGGATTCATGGGGAGACCTAAGTCTTGACAAAAGGTGGAAGAGTTGGAGGGATGGGCATTGGCGTTCAGCTGTAGAAGCTAAACCAGCTGAGAGTGATGAGGATGGAGTGGAGGGTGAGCTCATCATCGGATGATGAGCTGTAAGATAAATGAAGGCACTGGAGTGATAGAACTTTGCAGTAGGCAAAGTGTTGGTTTCATGCCTTGGGTCTTGTCACTGCCGCTTTCTTGTTGGGCTTGGGCCCTGGATCTGCAGGTTGCTGCTTCCTTCGTGTACCGACTGGCTTGGATTCTCATAAGTGCGGATTTCCCCTCTCCTTGACTTCAGACTGTTTTTGATGATGACGCTGGCTTCTGGACTTTGGAACTTTCAACTGGGATTTCTTCGACTTGGGACTGCTTCTGGATGATGGCTTCTCTTCATGGCTCATTGTTTGCTTACTATCTTTGAACTGTGTGATTTTGGTGTGTTTTGGAAGAAGTCTTATTTAATCCGGATTTTTTGCCAGTTAAATCTGGTTTATTTTCCAAGTTTGTTTTTCAAGCTGCAAATTGCTGCAGACTTTGAGTTTTGACCAGAGGCACTGAAGCAAGTGTCTCTGAGTCCTGTTACTTTGCTTTAATAAACTATTATTTTGGATATACTCCTGTGTCTGGCTCTTTAAGGCATCTGTGTTCCGACACCACCCGTACTTAAATTTGGGCATATCGAGTATTTGTGCCAAATTTGGTTCAGTGAATGAAAATGCATCCTGCACATCAGAGATTTACATTACGATTCATCATAGGAGCAAAATTACAGTTATGAAGTAGCAATGAAAATAATGTTATGGTTGGGGGTCACCACAACATGAGGAACAGTATTAAGGGGTCGCGGCATTAGGAAGCTTGAGAAACACTGGTTTAGGAAATGACCCAGGAACAAAAATCATGTTACACAGTGTTATGACTGTCTTCTAATGTCATAATACACAAGACCTGGGCTGAATCCAAGCTGCACAATGCCAGAGTTCATGCCTCACAGTTCCATGCTTTTGGGAAGATCCGGTAGCAGAAACCAGATCGTGAGGGTGCCGAGCGCCCAATTACAATACTGCCGGGCTCCGAACCCAATTCACCCAAGACGCTCCCCTCCTTGAGCCATTGTGGGTTGATTCACAGGAGCTTACAATCCGCAGATTGTCTTTTCCCATCCAGTTCTCTGGCCTCCTGCCGAATCTTCTGTAATATCCTCCCCTTTTGCTATCATACGCGCGCACAGAGAGGAGACACACAGGGCAACTCTTTTCAATTCTGGGCTGTTCTGGTTACAACCTTGGATGAATCGGCCAGTGTGCTCGCATTCCCTCTGACGAAAGTGGGTTTGCTAAGGCTCCGTTGGGAAAGGCTGGGACAAGGCAGACCTCTGTAACACACTCTGTGTACAAAGCGCGGATATGTCTGCCAAAGGCACATTCCAACGGAGCGCTTGCAGACACAGACTATTCAGGACTCTCCAGTTGGGTTATTCCTTGAGCTGAATATACTGGGGACTACAAGTGTCTGGTTTTGAAACGCTTCAAGATAGATACCCCGGAGATGGGACTCCAAGTCAAAACACAACCTTTCATTCATGTTTCATATGCAAGGTCATGTAAATTACACACCAATGGAGAGAGTAAGAAAAACTGGGACTACTTCAACCAGAGAAGTCAGGCATAGCAGAGCACCTGATGAACCAACCTGGACACAGCATTTTATTTGAGAAGACAGAAATGCTGGACCACTCTCACAACCACCATGTCAGACTACACAGAGAAGCCATTGAAATCCACAAGCATGTGGACAATTTCAACAGAAAGGAAGAGACCATGAAGATGAACAAAATCTGGCTACCAGTATTAAAAAAAAACCTCCAAAATCAGGACATAAATAAAGAGGAACACTAAGAAAACAGGGGAATTCCAGGCAGGAAACCATCAGGGCCAGCTAATGCCTCCCAACAAGGGATTCTCTCAAGCAGGAAGCAGCTAGACTTTGAAGCTATGGCTTGTTGTGTAAACAAGAATTGGGGATAAAAAGCTTCAGTGGAGACCCCTTTTCCCCATGATAATAACTCTTCCAGGAGCAGTAGATTTCTCTAACTTCCTGTTGTCTCAGCCCCATTCTTACCTAGGAGTCGTTTGCAAGTCAGATGTTTGTAACTAAGGGACAGTTTATATTTTGGACGACTCACCTATGAAGTTGTTCCACTCAGTGTCCAGCTCTCCTTGGTTGGCAAGGCAGCCCCTCATGACATTGAAGCAGTAGTTGTAGCAGGGCTTGACGGCCACCAATCCCCGGCAGTGTGGACAGTACATCATCTTCAGCAAGGCTTGGACGCCCTGCGGGGTGGGGTTGACCTTGGGGAAAAAGAACCCAAAAAGACATGTGTAAATCAAGGGAAAGCGGGCGAAATTACTACTATCATAATATTGTAGAATGACCTGAAAGTTGGCAATTCGAAGCAACGGGTCAGGGTGAGCTCCTAGCTCCTGCCAACCTAGCAGTTTGAAAACATGCAAATGTGAGTAGATCAATAGGTACTGCTTCGGTAGGAAGGTAATAAAGGCACCCATGCAGCAATGCAATCAGGAGGTGGCTACAGACAACAGGCTCCTTGGTTTGGAAATGGAAAAAGAGCACCTCCCCGAGGCCAGAGTTGAGCACCGCCTCCAGAAGCCGGAGATGAAAGGAGACGCCTTTGCCTTTGTTCTGTGTGTTTGTGTGTCATTGTTATGTCACTGTATTAAAAAGCATTGAATGTCTGCCTATTTGTATATGTCATAATCTGCTCCAAGTCCCCTCAGGGCGATAAAGCAGAATATAAATAAAGTGTTGTTGTTGTTGTGGTCAGATAAGATCCAACATCATGGCCTCTACATTACATAACTCTGCAAATGGATCACAAAATAATGAATAGCGAACGGACTTATAGCGATCATGGAGGTCACAATTATTTCCCAAGAACAGCAATCACAACTGCAATGCCATGTGCATTATGGTGCTTGGTTCTAGGCATTATGGCACTCGATTTCTAAACCAAGTGGATTAAATCCCCTTGTACTGTAGAATTAATGCAGTTTGACACCATTTTTAACTAGGATCCTGGGTGAGGCTCCACTAAAGAAGGCGAAAGCTCAACTACAACTCTACCACATAGAGAGACATTATATGAATCTACACCAGCCAGGGGCAAACTTCGACCCTCCAGGTGTTTTGGACTTCAACTCCCACAATTCCTAACAGCTGGTAAAGTGGCTGGGATGTCTTGGAGTTGAAGTCTTGCGGATGGAGCGTTTTTATTTGGCACCATTTCTGGCGTTACACAAATCTTCTTTGTCGGAAATAGCAACCTTCTTCTATTTGTTATGTATATATTTCAGATTGCTTACTGTATTGTATACGTATGCATTGGTATGCAATTTTCCTTGGCTCTTTGTTGTGGACGGGGGTGCAGACCATGTGATCTGGTCTGGGTTTGTTCAGGAATCAGACTCCATTTTTGGAACAGTATGAACAGAGTTGGAGTCCAAAACACCCGAAGGGCCGAAGATTGTCCATGACTCTCCGGATGTAGGTGAACTATAACTCCAAAACTCAAGGACAACGCCCACCAAACCCTTCCATGTAATGCAGTTTCAAACTTCACTATACGAAAGTTTGAAACTGCTTTGTACAGCAGAGTAGATGGAGCCAAAGTCATTCAGAAATGTTTGACATCTATATAAATAAAAATGTAATGTTCATTTGTGGGATTAGCATAACTCAAAAACCACTGGACAAACTGACACCAAATTTGGACACAATACACCTATCAGGCCAATGAGTGACCATCACTCATAAAAACACTGAAAAACATAGCAGAAGGGACTTAAAAAGCAAAAAGAAAACCCAAAAATTACAACGCATGTGCAAAACCACATATATATACACAAACACACATATATACACACTTATATGCATATACACACACAAAACACATACACAGAAAGGGGGAAGAGAGGAAGGAAGGAGAGAAGGAGGGAAAGAAGGAGGCAAGGAGAGAAGGAAGGAAAGAAAGAAGAGTAGAGAAGGAAGGAAGGAGAGAAGGTGGGAGAGGAGGGAGAGAAAGAAGGAGGGAAGGAGAGAAAAAAGGAAAGAAAGATAGAGAAGGAAGGAAGGAGAGGAGGGAGAGAAAGAGGGAGGGAGAGAAGGAAATAAAGAAAGGTAGAGAAGGAAGGAAGGAGAGAAGGAAATAAAAGAGTGAAAGAGGGAAGGAAGGAGAGAAGGAATGAAAGAAAGAGGGAAGGAAGAAAGGATGGAACCAAAGACCAAAGGAAGCGAGAAAAGAAACAGGTAGAGAAGGAAGAAAGAAGAAGAGAAAGAAAAAGAAGGAAGGAAGGAAAGAAGGAGGGGAGGAAGGAGTGAAAGAAAGAAGGAGGAGAAAGAGGGAGGGAAGGTTTGCCACAGCAACGCGTGGCAGGTACAGATAGTATACTTATAGTAGGTAAAGGTAAACGTTTTCCCCTGACATTAAGTCCAGTCGTGTCCGACTTTGCGGGCTGGCACTCATCTCCATTTCTAAGCTGAAGAGCCGGCGTTGTACGCAGATACCTCCATGGTCATGTGGCCAGCATGACTGCATGGAGCGCCGTTACCATCCCGCCGGAGCAGTACCTATTCATCTATTCACATTTGCATGTTTTCGAATCGCTAGGTTGGCAGAAGCTGGAGCTAACAGCAGGAGATCACCCTGCTCCCCGGATTCAAACCTGAGACCTTTCGGATAGCGAGTTTAGCAGCTCAACAGTTTAACCCACTGCACCACCTAATACGCATAGTCTAAGGGCAATTTAATAAATATTACTTTAATAATTGTGTCCATGAACAAAGTTTGGGTACATTAAGCACCAGAAACCAGGGTGTCAAAGTGCATTAATGCTACCATGGAGGCGTGCCCAAAGTCAGACCAAGGTTGGGTTGACTTGGGAAAGAAGGGTGACCTCTATGAGTCAAAGCGTCAGAACAAAGGAAAAGCCTTTCTCTTGCCTTAAGTGAACGCGATTGACCCCTTTTTTTCGGGACGAAACGCTCCAAAGGGTATTTGCAAGGCATGCCTTGCTCCAACCCCCTCCTCCTTTGCAATCACTTCTAAGCCTTGATTTTGCATGACACATCAGTCAGCCATGTGTTCCTCATTACGGGGAAATTTCTGAAGCCGATGAATTGCCAAAGATCGGGTTCCACTCCGCCCTGAGTCACTGTGGGATCTGGCTCACATATTTCCCCTCTTTTTTATTTTTAGGTTCTTTCCTTTTTTCCTCTTCGCTCCTCTCTATTTTATTTTTATTTTTTGAAATAATAAGACGACCTCGAGGTTTGGGCAGGAAATGTCCGCGTTGGGCAGCAATTGAAACCTGTTGCTTTTAATTATTTTAATAATAATCAACCGAATCCCCTGCCGTTCTAAAGGAAAACAAATAAATAAACGAATAAAGGAAATAAAGGATTTATGCAAAAGCAGAGAGTTCCCAGAGTCACAAAACCCCAAAAATGCATGAAATATTATCTCAAAATGCACGTGGTTCGAAAGAAACTGTGGTTTAGGATGGAGAGAAAGAAAGAAACAATTATTATTATTATTATTATTATTATTATTATTATTATTATTGCAAGTGGCTTCTGTTGTGAGAGAATTGGCCGTCTGCAAGGACGTTGCCCAGGGGACGCCCGGATGATTTGATGTTTTATCATCCTTGTGGGAGGCTTCTCTAATGGTTTCATGTGTTCATAATAATAAAGATTGATTGTAACAATACTGTGAAGAAAATACTGTGTAACCAATATGCTTTTTGTGCCTGAAAATTCATAAATAAACATTTCTTTGTTCAATTCTTATAATAAAGACTTGTGTCAAGTTACTGAATTGAAGATAATACTACAAGGACGATGGCTGAAGCGAAGTATTTTATTTGTCATGTCAGGAGCAACTTGAGAAACTGCAAGTCGCTTCTGGTGTGAGAGAATTGGCCATCTGCAAGGACGTTGCCCAGGGGACCCGGATGTTTTGATGTTTTAACATCCTTGTGGGAGGCTTCTCTCATGTCCCCGCATGAGGAGCTGGAGCTGATAGAGGGAGCTCATCCGCCTCTCCCCAGATTCGAACCTGTGACCTGTTGGTCTTCAGTCATGCCGGCACAGGGGTTTAACCCACTGTGCCACCAGGGGCTCCAGTCAAATTATTATTATTATTATTATTATTATTATTATTATTATTATTATTTCTTCAAAAGTTTCCTCTTGACATTACGGCTAATTTCTATGCCAAAGAGCCGGCGTTGTCCATAGACACCCCATAGGTCATGTAACCAGCATAACTGCATGGAGTGCTATTACCTTCCCACTGAAGCAGTACCTATTGATCTACGCACATTTGTATGTTTTCAGACTATTATCTTAAAGTAGCGTTTCTCAACCTGGGGATCAGGACTCTGGGGGGCAGGTCACGAGGGGATGTTAGAGGGGTCGCCAAAGACCATCAGGAAACAGAATTTTCTGTTGGTCATGGGGGTTCTGTTGTATTAGAGTCTGTTGGCAACACTGCAACTGGTAGTAGGAGTGTCAGAGGAGGGAAACGAGGTATTCAGGAGTTAGATGAAGAACAGCAGAGGAAGAGGATCTGGGAGATACTTATGTCACCCACTGATGAAGAGTCCTTCGAAGGGTTTTCCGAGAGTGAAATGAGTGAGGAGGAGGAAGGAGATACAGTAGATGTGAATAGGGGAACTAAGAGGATTACTCGAGAGCAGAAGTCAGACGAAGAGCGTCAAAGAAAGAAGATCCGGAAGATACTTACTGCTCCCACAGAGGAAGAGGATTTCATGGGTTTTTCTGGGAATGATGGGTCTGGGAGTGATGGGGATGAGGAGGAAGCACTGGATTGGACCAAGGTACAAGAGGTTCAGAATGTGTGTACTCAACCAACATCTAGTGACACATTTGCTGGTTTTCTGGTGGTGGGGATTGGCAATCGGGTGATACTGTGGAATCCTGGGGAGACCTAAGTCTTGACAAGAGGTGGAAGAGTTGGAGGGATGGGCGTTGGCGCTCAGCTGTGGAAGCTAAACCAGCTGAGAGTGATGAGGACGGGGTGGAGGGCAGCTCATCATCGGATGATGAGTTGTAAGATAAAAGTAGGCACTGAAATGATAGAACTTTGCAGTAGGCAAAGTGTTGGTTTCGTGCCTTGGGTCTTGTCACTGCCGCTTTCCTGTTGGGCGATTGGGTCCTGGATCTGCAGGTTGCTGTTTTGCTTCGTGTTACTGACCGGCCTGGATTCTTGTAAGTGCGAATTTCCCCTCTCCTTGACTTCAGACTGCTT